TTGTATTTGGACAATTAATTTGCTTAACTGGGTAAGAAAAAAATCTCTGTATAAGTGTTTTGGATTCTTTCTACTCTCTTATTCCTGCTTCAGCTTTGCTTCTGGTTTCAAGTATTGCATCTGTACTTCCATCTTCACTGCTAAGGGACAGATTTGTAGGTTCAAGGCTAAAATGACCTGCAAAATCCAGATATACATATTCAGAATTGAGAATTGGTGGGAAAGGGAGAGAAGTGTAGTTTTTCAGTCTTTTCCAGTTACTCAAGGTTTGTAGTGTGTGTTAGAGTGCCATTGCATGTCAGTATTCAGATGAAGAAGCCTAAAAACTAGAATTTAAAATGACTTAACAATTTGCAACAAGTTTGTTTGTGACTGTCCTAGAATACAGTTCAGTATCTGAATCTCTAAAATGCTATCTGTTTGAGCCATGCTGGCACCTACATGAATTATCATACAATTTTAGTGATTCTGATTGTTTTCAACTAGAAGATAGCCACCAGAATTTTAGTGTTCTTTATAAAAGACTTCATAGTACACCAATTCTCCATTCCCTTAGTTTTTTTGGAAAATATAAAACTACTTACAGTTTTCTGGTATGCTAAGTAAGGCTAACTTGTGGAATTTAGAACTTAGAATCTTTTAAGAACTTCAAAGTTAAAGACTTCCTTTTTTTTTCCAATTATAGAAGCAGTATGGAAAAAACTACATGCTATTTGGAAAATAGGAAAAATATCTCATATTTTAGGTTTTTCCTACTAGGTTTTTAATAAAAATATTTATATGAAATATAATTTTAGTTAAATACGTATTCATGGTATAAATTATACATACAGAGTCCTGTTTTCTCAAGGTTGTCTCATGAAGATTTTCTTCATTTCCTATGTAGTGTTCATAATTATTTAAAATGTTATCCCGGGGCACCTGGCAGGCTCATTCAGAGGAGATGTGACTCTGATCTTGGGGTTGTGAGTTTGAGTTCCACGTGGGGTGTAGAGATTACTTAAATAATTTTTTTAAAACTTTAAAAAAGTCACCCAATAGTTTTGTCAGAGGATGAACCATAATTTCCTTCGTCATTCTCTTGGACATTTTATTTGCTCTCACTTTTTTCTATATAAAACTAAGGCAGTGGAACATCTTTATGTGTACTGTTTGCCCTCCCTTTGGAGGTTTTATTCACTTAGAGTTAGAATACCATAAGTGGAAGTTGGGCCAAAAGTTTGAACATTTTTATGACTCTTAATGTGTATTTCCAAAAATAGTAATAATATGTATTTCCATAATCTATTTTCATTCATGTTTTAATTCATTCAGTAAATGCATTTTTTTCATATAGATGCAAATTCCCTATTTAGATTATCCTTAGGTTGTTTAACTGCCCCTCTTCCCCACTGTTGTGGGTGTGATCTCTTTCAATATAATTTTGAACTTCTTGATGATGAAAATCATAGGCTTTTTCAAACGAGGTGTATTATTTGGAGGTATATAGTGAAATTAGCATAGAATCTAATCTAAGCTAGCTGCTACCCAAGTGACATTTAGGCCAGTCATTAAGCTCATTTCTTCAGCTGTGAACTGAAGAGGTTCTTGGGTGGTCTCAGGTTTTAGGATTTTCATGGACAAAGCAAAAGGGAAAAAGAGGAATTTAGATAAATGAAAGAAGGTAGTAGTTCCTAGAAATAAAGTTGCAGTTAAAAGATCATCAGTCTTTTATTAGCAGAAAACAAACAAACAAAAAATGGTAAGGAGATTTCTAGATTGGAGCATACTAAAAAGAAAAGTAAATTTTTAGGTAGGTCCTAATACTTACTCCTACTATCTGAGGCATGAAATATTTAGTGTGGTGTGGACATGGCCATAATCTCATACTCATTCTCTTGTTCATCAAACATTGAAGGTTACCCATGTCTCAGGACCTGTAAGATATTAGAGATGGTGAAATAAAAGACTCTAGCCTTGCCTTCAAGGATTTTTTTTTTTTTTTTAAGAGAGAGAGAGAGCATGAGGTGGGGGGTGGGGCAGAGGGAGAGGAAGAGAGAGAATCTTAAGCAGGGTCCAGGCCCAACATGGAGCGTGATGCAGGCAGGGCTCAATCTCAGGATCCTGAAATCATGCCCTGAGCCAAAATCAAGAGTCAGACACTTCACCAGCTGAGCCACCCAGGTGCCCCCTATGATCTTAAAGTCTAATATAGACAGATAAAGATTATATTATAGTATTAAGATTGACTAAGAGGAGCGCTGAGAGGAATCACCTAATTTGGACTAGAGATGAGGTGTAAACTAAGTTTTGGAAAGCCATTAATTAGACTTGGGAGCCTATTGGGCTGGGGCAACAGTTCAATTTTGGAAACTGCAGATGCTGAGATTATTGGAACACAGGGCTGGAAAAGGAGCATGCCATAAATATTTGAAGCTGCAGAGAGGGATAGAGTCCACATTATGAAGGAATATATATGCCTTTACAAACTCTGCATTTTACTTTAAAAGCATTAGGGAACCAAGAAATTATTTAGTAATGAAATATGTTTTGTATTTGAAAAGTATTTTTTTTGGCAGCAATGCAGAGATTAGATAGCAGGCAGAGAAAAGAAGGCTAGGGAAGCTATTTAGGAATTGATGAGGTCCTCGGTTAAAACAGTGAGAATGTGGAGGAGGAAACTTATAAAAAATGTTAAGGAAATAGCCTGGATACAGTTTGGTATTTTTATGTAGGTAGATTGGGTAATGGAGAATGAAGAGTCAAGGATGCTTCCTTGATTCTCAAGTTTCATACTTGTTGGGCTTGGAATGTGGAAGTTCCATTCACTAATGTCAGGAATATAGGAGAAAGTTTTACGAATTGTACAGTGGTAATGTGGAAGAAGGGAGGGAGGTGATACTACAATTTTAGGCATGTCAAGTTTAACCGACCTGTGAGAATTCACGTGTAAGGTGGGTATGGGAGTCTAAATACTTCAGGTCTTTAGAGCTCAGAAGACATTAGACTTCGGCAAAGTACATAATTAAGAATTGTTCTATTAGAGGATTATTTTCATGAGGAAGACATTTCTAAATTTATTTAGACTCTTTAAAAGGACATATAAAATTTAACTTTAAAACCATGTTGAAATCCTAGGATTCCTTTGTTTTCTTATCTGAGAATATCCAGTATAATAATCATTTTGTTATTATAGTTCTGGTATAGATATACAAATTAGAATTAGCACATAGCTTTTAAAGCCAACATAAGTTAAATGACTTTTGACTGCCTATGAATAAGAATACAGTCTACCTAGAGAAAGACAAATACTATATGATTTCACTTGTATGTGGAATCTAAAAAACAAACGAATAAACAAACAAAAAAGCAGGAACAGACCCACAAATACGGAGAACAAACTGATGGTTGCCAAGGGGGGAGGGGAGTTGGGGGGATGGACAAAATGAGTGAAAGTGAGTGGGAAATACAAGCTTCCGGTTCTGGAATGAATAAGTCACAGGAATAAAAGGTACAGCATAGGGAATACAGTCAGTGGTATTTTATTAGTGTTGTATGGTGACAGATGATAGCTACACTTGGGGTGAACGTAGCATAATATATAAACTTGTTGAATCTCCATGTTATGTATCTGAAACTAATGTAACATTGTATGTCAACTATACTTCAATAAAAAACAATTTTTTAATAAAGATACAAAAAGGAATGCAGTCTATGAAACACTGTATCACTTTTCATATTTTAGACAGAATGGATATTGAAAAATTTAGTGGCTTGATCAAATGGTTGTAGACACTAATGGTTATTTGAAAATGACTTTCAGGGCTGACTTAGAAGATCTCTCCAATCTTAAATCAGGGTTAAAAGTAGAATGGGTGATACCAAGTGTTTTTGTTTTTGTTTTTTTTTGTTTTATTTTTTTTAAGATTTTATTTATTTGAGAGAGAGAGAGAGAGACTGTGATAGAGTTGGCAAGAGAGAGCACAAGCGGGAAGGAGATGGGTAGGACACTCCCGCTGAGCAGGGAGCCCGACATGGGGTTCGATCCTAGGACCCCGCGATCATGACCCTAGCCAAAGGCAGTCGCTCAACCAACTGAGCCACCCAGGCACCCATTTTTTGTTTTTTTTTGTTTTTTGTTTTTTTTAATCTTACTTGGTTTAAATTACCAGAAGAGAATAATACCATTTCTTCTTGAGGTTTTGCTTTTTAGTGTATGGATCATATATTACTGTGAACTTAGAATGACAAAATGAATGTTCTTGTATTGACTGTTTTCTATTGTACAAAGCTCTTCCTAGGGCCGGCCTTCCAGCTTACTCAGAAGATTGCTTCTTTGGTTAGTTTTATACTGAATCCATACACATAATGAGATCTTTTAGTGAGAACTATGTTACTTTCTCATGGAGGGATTATCTTTACAAATATAATTAAGGGTCTACTTTTAGAATAATTAAATGGCAGTGGCTTTTTAAAAAGTATCATGCAGGAATAATTATAAAGGAATCAAACTGATTTATCAAAAATAATTGGCCAGTTATCATAATGTCCAGATGGAAATTTGTGCATCCTAGAATCTAAGTACATTTAAGCAAATATACTTTTTTTTGTTTTGTTTGATTTGGTTACAGAGATGGCACACCAGAATCATCTAGGGAATTTTTTCAAAGTATAACCCTTTTCTGGAGATGTAAAATAAGTTTGTAAGTTTCTCTTTTAGTTCTTCCCTTAGGCTTTTTAATCATTCCACAAGACTTAATTAAACACTATAGGCTTAGCAATGAATTCTAGGCATTTCGTATTAAGATTTTTTTTTTCAGCCTTCCTCCCAAATTTTACATGGCTGCCTAAAAGATCCCTCTTTTGTTCTATTCTGCAAAAACATTATTTGTGAAGCATAAAGGAGCAAGAAACTGGTGAGTGGAATTATGAGTAAATTAGAATGAAAAATAGAATGGAGAGATGTGTTGAGTCTTGAAGAATGGAGGGGAATTGCTGGATGCTAAAGAGGACATAGAGATTCGGCGGCGGCCACTGAGCAGACCGGACTTCACTTGCACACGTACCTCGCTCCGCTTCCTCTGCAACCATGTCTGACAAACCCGATATGGCTGAGATTGAGAAATTCGATAAGTCGAAATTGAAGAAGACAGAAACGCAAGAGAAAAATCCACTACCTTCAAAAGAAACGATTGAACAGGAGAAGCAAGCAGGCGAATCATAATGAGGCGCGCGCCGCCAATATGCACTGTACATTCCACAAGCATTGCCTTCTTATTTTACTTCTTTTAGCTGTTTAACTTTGTAAGATGCAAAGAGGTTGGATCAAGTTTAAATGACTCTTCTGCCCCTTTTCACATCAAAGAATCTGAACTACTGACCAGGAACCCCAAGCCTCCTTTCCATCTGCCTGTCTGGCTGGCAGGGAAGGAAAATAACTTGTATGCTAGTGAAGGAAGAAGCTGGGTGGGACGACCAGTAACATTAAGTTGGTCCAAGGTATCTGGCAGGCTGTACAATGCAGTTTAATCAGAGTGCCATTTTTTTCTTCGTATGATTTTAATTATTGGAATGCACAATTTTTTAATATGCAAATAAAGTTTAAAATGTAAAAAAAAAAGGACATAGAATTGAGGAAAGAAGTTAGCGTAGCAGACACTATAAATGAATTTGGCAGAATTGTTAAGAAATTGAAGTAAAAATTTTAAGATTTTATTTATTTGAGAGAGAGAAAGCACACTTGTGCACGTGCGAGCACAAGTGGGTGGAGGGGCAGAGGGAGGAGGAGACTATCCTGTGAGTGCAGAATACCAGGACCCAGAGATCATGATCCCAGCGGAAGTCAGATACCCAACCCACTGAGCCACCCAGGCACCCCTGAAGTAAAAATTTTAAAATACATATTTGTAACAGTACTTAAAATACTGTAAAAAATTATGAACTGACTGGTCTGTTCCTGAAGGTGGCTTATGTTTAAAAAAGTTTTCCCAAAAGTCAGATGTTGGATACATACTTCAGAGTATGTAACATGTAAAATGCTTAGAAGTAGTTAAGTCCTCAGCAAATATGTGTTATTTTTATTAGTTGACAGCTACCTTTCTCATTGTGATTTGATGAAAAATATATCCTTGTTGAGTATATTCCTAAATGAAAATCAACGGATTTGTGATATTTATAATGAATTATTAGGAAGGAAGATATTTGATAAGCAAAGAAAAAGTAATCAAATTGGCTCAAGTTCATATGGTATTGAAATATGAATACTCCTTCCAAATATAACTTTGCTGTATACCCCAGATCAACTGAAGTATCCCAGATAATGACTACCTATACGAGGAACTTGATTTAAATATCTCTAATATCTAATGTTAATTATGCCTCTAAAGGTGTTGTATTATACTATTACGTATGACAGTACACATATATGTACAATATATACGTATATATCCACTAAATTTTGATAACTCATTTTGTATTTTCTTGCTTTATACCTTTTAATCGGAACATTTATCTCCTTTTTTCTCCATCTATCCAAATACTATCTTCTTTCTGTTGAGATCTTACAGGTTTTTTGGTAGGTGATAGAGGGAGGGTAGCATAACAGAATTACTAGGCTTTCCCCCATGCCCAAGCTTAAAATACTTTCCCCCTTTTCTTCTGCCCCCCTAATTCATGTGATCTCTTTTTTTTCTAGTACATACTTGTGTGGCAGAGTTAGTTATTTAAGTTATATGTTGACTTCTCACATCTTCTTATTGTATATCAAGCTACAGTTTATTTTGTTTCATTTTATATTACTTGTATTATCTTCTCAATTAGATTGTAAACTTTTTGAGGGCAGGATCTGCCAGTGGTACCTGGTAAAGTGTTTTGCCTGGAGCAGCCCTTAGCAAGTGTTTGCTGATAATGTATGTGGCTCATCTGAACTAGGTTTAAAAGATTTAGAAAATATCTCACATTCTCACAAACCATAAAATTCGCTCTTTTAAATTGTGCGGTGGTAAAAATTCAGTGGTTTTTAGTTTATTCATAAAGTTGTGCAACCATCATCACTATCTAGTTTCCAGAATATTTCATCGCCCAAAAAAGAAACACCATACCCATTAGCAGTCACTCCCCGTTCTTCCCTTTTCTAGCCCTTGGCAACCAGTAATCTACCTTCTGTTGCTATAGATTTCCTTATTCATAAGTAGAATCACGCAGTGTGGCCTGTTTGTATCTGGCTTCTTTCACTTGGGTCTTCTGTATTGTAGCATGTATCAGTACTTCATTTTTTATAGTCAAATAATATTCCGTTGTATATACAACATTTTACTTAACCTTTTGTTAGTTGATGGACATTTGGGTTGTTTTCACCTTTTGGTTATTATGAATAATGCTGCTATAAACATTCATGTACAGGTTTCTGTATGGGCATATGTTTTCACTTTCCCTGTGTAGATACATAGGAGTGAAATTTCTAGGGCATGTGCTAACTCTATAACTCTTTGCAGAACTGTCAGACTGTTTTCCAAAGAGACTACATGATTTTTACAGTTCCATTTTCAGTGTTTGCAATTTACACTTTTTTTTTTAAGATTTATTTATTTATTTATTTGACAGAGAGAGAGACACAGTGAGAGAGCGAGCACAAGCAGGGGGAGTGGGAGAACCAGGCTTCCCGCAGAGCAGGGAGCCCGATGCAGGGCTCGATCCCAGAACCCTGGGATCATGACCTGAGCTGAAGGCAGACGCTTAACGACTGAGCCACCCAGGCGCCCCGATTCACACTTTTTCTACATCCTCACCAATACTTATTATTCTGTGTTTGAATGTAGCCATTCTAGTGGGTGTGCAGCAGTATTTCATTTTGGCTTTGATGTGCATTTCCCTAAAGATTAATGATATTGAGCATCTTTTCGTTTGCATATTGGTTGTTTATGTATCTTCTTTGGAGAAGTGTTTCTTCTCATCTTTTGCCCATTTTTAAATTGGATTATCTGTGTTTTTATCCCTCAATTATAAGGTTTTTTTTAATTTTTTTTTTTTTTAAGATTTTATTTATTTATTTGAGAGAGAGAGAGAGAGAGAGAGAGGCAAAGGGAGAAGCAGGCTCCCAAGCAGCAGGGAGCCCGATGCGGGACTCGATCCTGGAACTCCAGGATCATGACCTGAGCCGAAGGCAGTCGCTCAACCAACTGAGCCACCCAGGCGCCCGGTTTTTTTTAATATTTATTTATCAGAGAGAAAGAGAGAGAGTACAAGCAGGGGGAGCAGCAGAGGGAGAGGGAGAAGCAGGCACTCCGCCGAGCAGGGAGCCCGATGAGGGACTCAATCCTGGGACCGTGGGATCATGACCCGAGCCGAAAGCAGACGCTCAACCGACTGAGCCACCCAGGCATCCCTATAAGTTTTTAATATATTCTGGAATCAAGTCCCTTATTAGATATATGATATACAAATATTTTCTTTCAGTCTGTGGGTTATCTTGTCACTTTCTTGATAGTGTCCTTTGAATCACAAAAGTTTTTTATTTGATGATGTCCAATTTATCTGGTGTTTTTTTTGGTTTTTTGTTTTTGTTTTTTTTTTTTAGTTGATTGTACTTTTGATGTCATATTTAAGAAGCTGCTGTCTAACCCAAGGTCGTGAAGATTTATATCTATGTTTAGTTTTAGCTCTTACATTTAAGTCTCTGACCAATTTCAAGTTAATTTTTTGCATGTGGTATCAGGTAGGGATATAAGATCCTCCTTCTACGTGTGACTATCCAGTTATGCCATCACTGTTGAAAAGACTATTCCTTTCCCATCAAATGGTCTTGGCACCCTTTGTCAAAAATCAGTTGAATGTAAATATAAGAGTTTATTTCTGGACTCTCAATTTTATTCCATCCCATTCACTGTAAGGGGTCTAACCTTACGCGAGTATCACAGTGTCTTACTTTCTGTAGCTTTGTAGTAAGGTTTGAAGATAGGAAGTATGAATCCTCTAACTTTGTTCTTTTTCAAAACTTTTTTTTTTGGTATTTTTGGATCTCTTGCATTTTCATATGAATTTTAGCATCAGCTCGTTCATTTCTGCAAAATAGGCTGCAATTTTGTTAGGGATTAATCTGTCTGTAAATTAGTTTGGGGAGTATTGCCATCTTAATTATATTAAGTCTTCCCATCCATAAGTTTGGGGTGCTTGTCATTTTTTTAGGCCTTGATTTCTTTCAATGAAAATGTTTTGTAGTTTTCAGTGTACAAGTGTTGCACTTCTTTTGTTAAATTTATTCCTAGGTATTTTTTTCTTTTTGATGCTATTATAAATGGAATTTTTTTTTTATTTCAAGATTGTTTATTTGTAGTATATGGCAGTACAGTTGATTTTTTATATAATGATCTTTCATCCTACAAGAACTCCTTTATTCTAATTCATGCTCCTTTTTCTAAGGAGAATTTATGCTTGTTTTTCAATATTGTTCGTTTCACCCTCCTCCAGCCTTCCAAATACTACATGCTACAAGTAGTTACAAGATAGAATTTTTCCTGTTTGTCCAGTCTGGTGCCTTTGTGACTTGGAAAAACTTGTGCACATATGAAAAGTAAGATTAGATAGCTCAGAGGGAAAGTTGTGGTCATATTTTGTCAGAATTTTCATTTAGTGGTATCTGTCTGTAGCATAGGATTAAAAATTGAGGAATTGTGGTCTAGTATTTAAAACAGTTTCTTTCACCTGTAGTAAGGACCAACTCAAATGTTTGTTGCAGAATAAATGCCTGTCTTAGCAATATGTATATATGGATGCAAAATAAATTTTCTTAGTCAGTAATTTCTATAGTCTTCATTTTCCCCTAGTCAGTAAGTGATTTTCAGTAGTTCACTACTGAAATCTGGAAAGTTTAAGTTGTACAGGAAAAAAAGAAAAGAGTGACTAGGCAAAGAGGGTAATGGGATTAGGGAAAGAGGAGAAAGGCAAGGAGTCAAGATTAATAACTTGAGTTTTGTTAATACAATGCTGATTGGAAACAAAAGAGGAAACAGCGATAATGGATTATTCCTCAAATTCAAACTTCTGTTTTTTAGTCTGAGTCAGAATTGAACCTAAATGGTAAATACATATATAAAAAGATGTTCAACCTCACTAGCAGAGAATTGCAGAGGTATACTCTAGTTCACTTTATGATGTGTTCTTTTGATCAATAAAAAGATTAAATAAGTGCAGAAGTACCCTCAAAGTGTGCTTATTTAATAAGTTTTAGCTCCCTTTCTCACTCATGTTGGTCTTCTCACTAAGCTTTAGGTGTCACCATAAATATAAAGCTGGGTAGTTCTTTCTCTCCATTTTTAAAATAAACATTGTCAAGAGCTTTCTATATATTATTATATTTAATACTCCCAGAAAAAAATATCTTGGGTTAGATGTTATTTGCATTTCATAGGTGAGGAAATTGAAGTTTAGGAAGTCAAGGTTACACAGTTTGAAACAGGAAGAAGGCAAATGTTA